TTTTTATTTTGATAAAAGTTAGGTTAAAAATTACGTTAAATTGTGTTAGAATTGTATTACTAATTAAATATTGGATCAACTACAGGATTGATAACTTTTTTTAAGTTTTGTACACTTTTACTCACTAAATTCAAAATATAATATTTGATTATTTTTTATTTAATTAAGTTGTAACACTGGGAATATATAAAATTAAGAAGGATAAACTGCACAAGTGGTCACTAATATTTGAGTAAAATAAACCTTAAAGTCATAATATCTTCTGCCACCTCTCCACCTCCGTTCATTAACTTCGGCCACCTTTCTCGCAGTACTTTCGTATCGTGAGTACCAACAACTAAACCACAGCTCACTTGCAGTTGCTGACAATGGTAGGAGGATGTGTTGCAACAATGTCAATGTCAATCCTTAAAATGATCCCGACTTCAGTCTTCTGGGGTTACTTCCCCTTCAAGGCTATTGAAAGCTTATCGGGTAACCAATTTTGGGAACAGATTTTATTGCTCTTCACTGCACCAAGCAGAAAATACAAGTAAGATACTCAAAACACATTTACACTTATAATTCAAAGTATCCATTGTCAATCATCTTGTATAAACAAAGAGAGGATTTTCTATTCCCTGCAGAGTCCTTGAGCAGCAACATGCAACATGCAACGTTTGTGGAGACCCTCTCGTTCAAGGCAATTGCAATGTTTACCATCTTCCAAACTGCTTATCTGCTACAGTATGTTTCGGTTTAACCTGGGTTTCGATCGCCGGTGTCATCTTTTCCTTGATGATCATGCTTTTAGTTCTAGCAAGATAATACATCCAGCCCAAGTTTTTCATAGAGTCACATCTTTATGATTTGGACGTGGCGGAGTATGAAGAGGCACCTGCTTTGCCATATAATCTTGCCACAGTAAGATACTCGTCTCCTACCTCATTTTTCATTGCTTTATTAATCATTTAAACTTTGCCTTACAGGAGACAAGCTGGGACATGGAGCATCCCATGCAGGGGACAATGAAATATTACATGAAGTTATTACATGAAGCAGAAAAATTTGAAGAAGATCAAAAAGGGAAGTCGAGTGGAAGGTAAAATTTGTTACTTTTGAAATTTCAGTACTCAAACATTAGTGATCATTTGTGTAGTTTACCCTTTTTATTTTAAGCAACCCGTTAAAGATCTAACTGCAACTAATCTTAAGTGACCACATCTTAATTAAATAAAAACGAAAGTAACCAAATATTATATTTTTTGAATTTAAATCGATAAAAAATTCGATCATTCATCCCAGAGACGGAACTAAGTGGGGGCATATGGGGGCCATGGCCCCCAATTTTTTTAAAAAATTTAGTTTTAGACCCTTAAAATTTTCAAAAAAATAGTTAGACCCTATAGAATTTTTAGAAATTCATATTAAGCTTTAAATTTTGATTTTTTTTAATTAAATCTCTCCCGTAATTTTTAAAAAATATCATTAAACCTCTCAAATTTTTAAAAATTTTAATTAGACCCCAATTGTTTTTGAAAAAATGTAAATTGAACTCTTCTAAATTTTTGAAAATTTTAATTCAAAACTCTAATTTTTAAAAGTTTTAAATTAACCCCCAAATTCCGCCACTGATTTGTCCTGTTGTCATCTTCATCATGGAGTTAGTAAGGCAGAATGTTATTTTTGTGTGCCAATTGCTAAAACACAAAAAATATAGAACGGGACTGCGCTACTAATTGAGGTTCTTTTGATGCGCAAAAGATGGGGCCAATTTTTAAAACAAAGTTGAATTACTTTTAAGTAATTACTGTAGCCTTTTTCAGGTAATTACTTTTAATTTGCATCTATGTCTAAGATTTCATGGCTTGGATTGATTTATTATGTTTCTGTTTTCGTTTAGGTGGTGTTGCGTAGGGTAGTTAACACGCAGTTACCAAATCAATGGCTGTGGGATCTGGTGGATGAGTTTGTATACCAATTCCAAAGTTTCTGTCAATACAGGGCTAAAATGAAGAACAAAACTGAGCAAGAAATTGCTCCTCCGCCAATTTGACCAGGTAATACAGTTTACAACAAAATCGAAACGGAATTTTAATATTTCTTGCTATTATTATAGTTAGCGTTGTTAGTATTTGAGGTTACTTTTCCCCTTATAGGCATGAAATGTGTATGGGGTGCTCAACTACTTGTAGGCCTGTAAATGAACTGAACGTTCAACGAACCGTTCATGAACCGTGCGGCGGGAAGTTCGTTTATGTGCGTTTATTTATTAAATGAACGAACATGAACAAGATTTTTTGTTCGTTTAATTAAATGAACAAACATGAACATAGGTCTCGTTCGTTCATTTACGTTCATGAACGTTCGGTTATGTTCGTTTGGTTATGTTCGTTTATGTTCGTTCGATTATGTTCGTTTATATTCATTCATTTATGTTTAACCCAATCTTCTTAAATCAATTTTGGTGATCAATTTATAAGTATCTTCTTAAACCAATCTTCTTAAATCAATCTTCTTAAATTAATCTGATATTCTGATGACCAACTCCATAATTAACCCAATTTTATTTGGAGATTAAATCCAATATGTTAACATGTGAGGCACCTCGCCCTTATATTCATTTTCCCCCTTTTTTTCTCAAACCTTATTGTTCACTGGAGAGTGGAGACGATCTCTGAAAGATTCAAAACAAGTTATATTATAGTGCAATATGAAGTTTTACAGGTCTGTTTTCATCTCTTTCTCTGTTTTATTTGACTTAATAGTTGATATGTAAAGTTATTGTGGGTATCTTCACATCTAAAACTCAAGAAAACATAATACTTCTTTCTAGAAATAGATAGGAAGATAAAGGTAAAAATCGGAAGTATATGAACATCAGTAAAAAGAAAAATATATAGAATTTACCAGAAAACAAAACAAAGGTTTCTATGCAATTTCTGAAAAAAGAGTGTAATAGCGGAAAATGATTGTTCATATGTAATCATGGAATACTAAGATAAATGTTATAGCGTTAAATTAAAGTCGTGTGAATCATTTAATATCTTTAAAAGATCGATCGAAATATTTGATATCTTCAAACATTTCATTACTACTAATAAGCTCTTACGCTATTTATCACTGTTGATTTGGTTGATTTGCATTGTCGACTATTTTTCATGAAAGAACAATAGAAGGTAGGGTCTCCAACGTTTATGTTCGTATTCATTTATGTTCGTGTTCGTTTATGTTCGTGTTCGTTTATGTTCGTTTATTTATTAAATGAACGAACATGAACAAGTTATATTCCTTAATAAACGAACATGAACAAAAAAAATTTTGTTCGTTTATGTTCGTGTTCGTTTATGTTCGTTTATTTATTAAATGAACGAACATGAACATACCTTCGTTCGTGTGCGTTCGGTTCGTTTACAGGCCTAACTACTTGCAAGCGTTTGTGGAGAAGTCAAATATTATTCAGATATTGGAGCAGGAGAAGGAAGGTGGTGAACAATTTACTGCTACTGACGGGTATGGTTACAGTGGTGGAAGCAATGTCTTGAAGGTGTTGGGATATTTCAGTATGGTGGGTTTGTTGCGAGTTCATTGTCTTCTTGGTGATTACCAAACGGGGCTGAAGTGCTTGCTTCCTATTGACATTAGTCAACAAGGTGTTAACACCAGTGTCATAGAAGTCATATTGCTACCATTTATCATTATGGTTTTGCCAATCTTATGATGCGGAGGTATGTTTTTGTTTTTCTTGTTAATGGTGTGAATGTTTTCATCCTTTACGAAAGCATTTTTCAACATTAGTTCTTTTTTAACTTAGCTTGACAATGACATATATAATCTTAATTAAAGGGTACGTGGAGGCTATTCGGGAATTCAATAAGATTCTCTTGTATATTAACAAGACAAAGCAATATCATCAGAAATTTCCACAGTATGAACAAATACTAAAAAAGAATGAACAGATGTATGCCTTGCTGGCAATTTGTCTTTCACTTTGCCCCCAAGCCAAACTTGTCGAGGAGACTGTGAACTCTCAGTTGCCATCTATGACTCTTTTCATATGCATGTCCCAAGTTCATCACACCATCAGGGCCTAGCTTTGAGGAGCCCCTTGTAAATTACAACCAGGTTGTGGTTTAATCTTTTTCAGGTCATCTTAAGAATGATTTTGGTGGAAGTACAGTAATTAAATCATTTATGCCTGTTCCTTCCCTTATTTGCATCCAAAGTCCTTAAGTTATCCAACATACATGATTATGTCACATGAACTTGCTGTAGTCAAGCTTGTTCATATTGATTTTATTGCTAATACTCGCTTTCTAAACAATATATTAATTCTATGAACTGAGGTTTAGGCCCATTTAATGTTGGTTTATTATGTGTTAGTATAAGGTAAATTTCCGCAATCAGTCTGTTTGTTCCAGCAATTGATGTACCTTATTTTGATGGAGCTCTATGCCTCTGCCCCCAGACTAAAAATGGCTATTTGGCATGTTGTTAAGCTTCGTCTTCCTTGGTCCGCATTTCTTTTAATGTATATTTTGAGATTTTTACCTTCTTCCCTTTATTTACACACAGGATGCCTACGGACTTCATTTGAAGCTGTTTTTATATGAAGCGAAGCAGCAACAGTTGTTATCTGGTGTCCGGACATTTCTTAAAGTGTATTCAACTATATCTCTTGGGAAGATTGCAAATTACATGGAAGTGGATGAGCCCACTCTGAGGTTGACAATTCTTTCAATCTTCTCACCATTTTCTTCTTTCCAATGTTTGTTTCATTTGTTGTATGCTGACCATGTGTCATATCTTATAGGAGTATCTTGTTTACATACAAGCACAAAACTCATGCCGTTGATTCCGATGGAAAGATTATCTCTAATGCTGATGTGGACTTCTACATTGATGATGTAGGTTCAATTCCAAGCTATGGTTTTTGATAATTAAATATTTGGAAAGATTATCTCAGTTATATGTAGGTTCAATTCCATACTGGCTGAAACCTTGTGAGCAGATTCAAGCTAATTGTAAAGCACCCGCATGAAGAAAAAGAAAGATATAAAAACATGAGATCAAATACAAACATTGGAGGCTTTTAGCTATCTCAAACCTTTCAAAAGATAGGAAGAGGGGCTTGAGAAACTCATGGATGTTGAGGACTTGACATTTTCAGTTCCCTTCCTTGGTGTTCCACATTCACTGAAATCAAGTGTCCTGCACTCTGCCTGCAATGAAATCGCCGTATCAGTTTCAATGAATGGCTCTTACGAAGGAAGAAAAGATGATGTTAAGCATAGTTTATAAGTAAATACCAAGATATTTGAAGCCAAATGTGAATGGTTCTCTAACCGACTATTCTCTTTGTCCATGTTATTAGGACCGTTTATGATTGATTCCGGAGTTTCAATTCCCAAAACCTCCAAGGCATCAGCATAAGCAGCTGCAGTATGTTCACTTAATTGTTTCATCAACCCAATGGCATCATAGCTTCTCTCCACAGGGCTCATAAGATATCCCATGTCCTGGAAACAAATTCCAATTATTAGGAACCATAAACAGAAATTTTTTAGGTTCTAAAAATCTACCTCAATTGTTATTTCTGTGTCAATTCTTGGGCCGGGAACAAAAGAGTTGATAAACCAGGGAGATTTCCATGCTGATGGTGATTCAATACTTCTTTTGAATGGAGTGTCTCCAAATCTGCCAATCCACATCAAGCTAGTAAGTTTGTGAGCAACCAATCAATTTATCCTAGCAGTTGAAGTGCAAGCACACAGGGTAGCACAAAACAACAAAATTGCTTTAGCAATGTGATAACAATAGGGAACAGTTATATTCTTACATATTATAACTCTCAGTAGTAGCATTATTCCCAGTATTATCAACCAAATTCTCTAGAGTTGCTGACGAATCCATACATTGTACTGTAGTATCGGCAGTTGAGTGGCCTTCATTCTTCTTTAACTTCAGAGTAGGGGAGCTAACAACTGTGCATGCATTTCCCGACAAGCATTCAGATGCAAGACCCTGATTTGGTGTGGCTCCTGTGCTTTTATGATATCGATTTCTTGGAGTTTGCATGCTTGAAGACAACAATGATCTGCCTGCTTTAGGACCAACATGATCAGGAGAAAACAACAATGGATCATTTAAATTACGCTCAACAAGCACAGCAGCAGGGCGTTGAACCTGTCAAAAGTATAGAGGAAAATATTAGTAAATAATAAATCAATTCACTATTAGATGCAAAACTGAAATATAACTGTAATAAAGACAAGAATTAAGACCAAGATTTCCAACAGAATACTGCAAGAGGAAACAGTATGTACATGTATGAACTCACAATTTTGTACGAAGCATCAATTTCAGTTTTGTCCTTTGTATGAATTTCACGGGCTTCCTTTTCCATGTTTCCTAGGGAACCAGTTCCATTAGAATCATTCTTCTGAGCTTCATCATTTAAAGAGTCAGTATGATCCCCTCCATTGTGTTTATCCTCATCAAATGCTTGAGATGGGTTTTCTTTTTCTTCAGTGGAGACACGAGAGTTGGTTTTATGTTCAGATGGGCGCACTTGAGATGTGTTGCCAGTCTCATACTCGTTGAAAATTACATCCAAGCGAGAGAAATCTTCGGTCAAATTGGATGCCATATCAATTTCCAGTTTTTTCTCACATTGTCTCTCTGATAAAGGTGATAGAAGGTCACGGTGGCGCTTCTTCAAAATGGATGGTGTACCGGAAAATGTTTTTGCAGCACTTTTCAGCAGAGAATCAGGACTATTTTCCCGTGACGGTGAATCCCACAACCGAAATGGACTGATGCAGTTCGTAGATATCATCAGCTGGCGAATACCAAGAGGACTATATTCTGGCTGCATATCACAGCCAGAGGGTATAATGTCACAGCTGAAAAACGGAATATCCAAACTTGGAAATCGAGGAGGCTCATAACATAGACCTCCAACTTCTTGTTCTGCAGGCAAGGTTGGCTTATCCTCCACACTAGAACAAGTTTCTGCTACACTTGATTCTAAACCAAAAGAATTCACTGGAACCAACTTCCGAGAATCCTTGTCAAGGTATGACTGCCCTTGCAGATCTGTATTGCCTATATGATCATCACTGGTATACATAAAGTCATCGTGTGCATTCATAGTAAATGCTTGCTCTTGATTTCCAAAAGGTTGACCGTTTAACTGACAACTGTCACCTCCAATCATATATGTACCATCCTCAACTGAAAGAAGTGAAGGAGACACAAAAGATTGACAGCATGAGGTTGGCAATACTTCAGACCTTGAAGGACAATTCAATTGTAAGGCTGGAGTTCTTCCCGTTTCAGATATTTGGATGTCTGAAGCCTGAGAAAGTAATGCATTTGTGAAGCCACCCATTTCAACCATATTAGATCCTTGTGTAAAATTTTCAGAGGCAAAGCATCCATCATTTACTGCCTTCGAGAATAGGACGATACAGCATTCATCATCAGGTATCAACGTTTGTTCTTGTTTGTCTGAAGATGTACCCATATTGATGGAAGGTGTAGGAGCATTTAATTCTACAGAAGACTGAAATGTGATATTCATCACTTCATGGCTTTTTCTGGTGTCTATACAGTTACTTGGTCCTGATGATTCTTGCCCCAAGTCCAGAGAAGAAATATCAGGTAAATCTGGTAAACCAAACTGGTAATCCCCACTCGAAGAGCAACCTTCCCTATGTATTTCTGGAATGGAGAAGTTGACATCTTCTAAAGATGGGTAATATTCTTCTGAACAATGTGCTGGACTGGAATTTTTCTCCTTTGCCACACCAGGCATTTCAGTAAAGTGGAATTGCTCTCCTGTATGCGCAGCAGCATTAGACTGAGAGCAGCTAACCATCGCTGACTCTTGGCTGCATTCTGATATGTCCTCAGGTTTTGTCCTAATTTTAGCAGCACTATCATCTACATTGCTCTGAATCGTCAAATAAGATGAAGGCATAGGCTGGCTTTGATTTGCAGGAAGTGAGAATTGAAATTGTTCTAGAAGGCCTGATGCTATATAAGATTCCAATTTCTTTTTGATCGAACTGTTCCAGTGATTTTTTATTGCATTGTCTGTCCTGTTACCAGTACAAAGATGGAAATAAAGCACGTTGAAATGCAAAGAAGTTATTAGCTTCTAACAGAACATTAGATTTTAGACAAATATCAGCTGATTACTTGCAGTCACAGGAGGAAGTAAAATGAATATGAGACAAATAGAGGTAATTTTGATATTACATAGGTGTAAAGGTGCGCCTTCTCTGAATGATAAGTTGGCATACCTTCCTCCTGGCAAGAACTTTGAGAGCTCTGCCCATCTATTCCCAAATATCTGATGAGCTCGAATCAGAGCCAACTCTTCTTCCTGAGTCCATGCCTTTTTGTTTATGGCAGGATTGAGATGATTATGCCACCTGGATTAGGACTTAGTTGTAAGAGCACAAACATAAATACAATAAGTTTTTTTTTCCTAATATTTTGAGGAGAAAAGGTTATTACAGCAAACACTTCCATAAAATACAAGAGATGTTTTCAATAATATTACGGAGTGAAAACCTCTCACAAATTGTTAAAATCAACATCATTAAATCAATTCGACCAGGCTAAGCCCAGTTGTTGTTACCATCCAACATTCTAAGTTTCAAACAACCCTCCTTAATTATACCAAAGTTCTAAACGTAAATGAGATTAAGATATTAAAGTTTACAGTTCTATCATCACACCTTTCTCTGCATTGTTTTCCAATTCGTCCAGGTAAGTGCTGAGCAATGGTTGACCACTTTTTTGGCCCATATTTGTTCACCAACTCGATTATTAGTTCATCCTCCTGTTTAAATTTCTCAAAAGCAACTCAGAATGCTTATCAAGAAAAATCTGTTTGTTCTGTCAACAAGCAACTCATAGAATTGTGAGAGAAAAAAGTAGCAAAAGCAATCACCTCTTTAGACCAAGGACCTTTAACTAACTCAGGATTCAAGACCTTTTGCCACCTGTGTAAGCACTGTACATCAGTCCGATCCTTGAAACACTCGGCTGCAGATGAACCGGCTTACAATTAGAACATTTAAAATGATGAAAAAATAGATAACCATGCCTCTTAAAATCGAGAATAATACCTATCTTTTTCCAATTTTTTCCTTTAAAGCGTTGAACAGCGTCGCGCAGAATCTCATCCTGGAAGCCCATAGAATTATGTAGTCAAATTGAAAATTCATTAAAGAATATGCATGCGACTAAATTGTAGATATTACACTGATACAGACATTACAGGATGGAACTAAATTAGTAGACGCTATAATACATTACAGAAAAAGTGAAAAAAAGGTTATAGAAAGGAAGGCAATGCCTTAAAACAAAAGAGAGCAGACACAGACTACGATGATTACCTCTTCAGCTGTCCATTGTCCTTTTGTAGAACGTCTTGTAGGACCGGTGATCCTCCTATAGAATCATTGCAAAGTCAGAAAAAACACAGAACATAAAACAATCAATTTCTAAAATAAGCATCGTAGAAAGAGAGAGATAGCACCCAAGAACCCCCCAATCCTGAATTTTAATTTATGTTCTGTAAGTGGTAGTAAAAGGAAACAATCACATCGGTTTAAAAAGAAATACCCATGAAGAGATCGCATTCTCTGAGCATCATCGCCGATGCTGAGCCCAACCGAAGGAGTCGATACTGTTCTGTCACCTTCCATAGTTCTTTTGTAAATGAATAAAGCTGCATACCGCAATTCCAACTCTACAACGCTTCTCTCCTCAATCTACTGTCCAAATCATTAGAAATCAACGTAACTATAGAGTTCCTGCCCAGCAAACAAACAGAGTAATCAAACAAAAAAGGGAGACGAAATCAGAAAACATATATATATAACAATTGTACACTAGAATCTAAAAATTCAAAAATCAACGATTTGAAAAATTAGAAAAGAAATCGAGTTAAAAGTGATAAATTTAAATTCATTCAGTTTTCAATTACTCGGAAATTGGAAAAAGAACCGACAGTTATTGAAGCAAATTGTTAAGTATGTAACTTGAAGATCAAGATCGATGGAATGAAGTTAAAACTCATAAGATGGGGAAAAAATCCTAAAAAAGGAAGATGAAGAAACCACCCACTAACTGAGCTTCGAAACCCGAGAAATGAAGAATCTGATAAAGAGAGGAAGTGGAAACGATGCGCATTTGCAGATCCAAGCGAGGATAGGTTGAGAAAGCGAAGATAATGATCTGCAAATGCACAGCTAAGATTACAGAAGATGAAATGGAGAAGATCAGAATAAGGCAAAGGAAGCGAAGCAGAGATTGGAGAGGGAGAGAGAATGAAACGGTCTACAAAGTTATTCAAACATAAGGGGCGGAGTAATACAGTTTCAAACCTATAATTAAAGATCGAACACTTCTTGGATTCGAGGGCCAGTATTTCTCCACTTTGGACTCGCGGCCATCTCGTGTGCTTTTTTTTTTTCAAATCTACCCAACGGATCAAAATTTATTTTCTTTTATATTATATATTACTGTTATTCCGAAAAATAATAATAAAAGAAAATAAATAAACATTATTACATCACTAATTAAATAATTTTAACAAGCCAAAATGTTATATAATTAAAACATCTATACACTTTAACTTTTCCGTTTATAAATTGAAATTTAGATAATTAAATATTACATTTATCTTGTATAATATGTTTGATATATTAATTTAAAATTAAATAAATTGATTGAGAAACATAAAATTTCAAGAATAATAAAGTTTTGGAAGTAATTAATAAAAATTACTATATGTTCTACAATAAGTAGTTTCTTATCATTTTTAATTTTCATCATTAAATTTTTTTATATATTTGTTATTTTAAAATATCAAACGCATTTAAAAATATAAATTATTAAAAACTTTAGCTTTTTTTAATTAATTAATTTTCAACAAATTATAAAAACATATATCACCTGTTGTTAACACTGTATAACGTACAACGAATTACATCATATTCAAATCTATTAGAATAAGTACGTATGGGGAGATTTGAACCATTTTCAAATCTAACGTTCCTTTTTCCTTTTCATTAAATTAATGTCACATTACTCTCACTCCCAACGAACATTTCTTTTCCTTATTAGTTAGTTATAGGTTAAACATTTTCTCTCAGGAAAAAGAGAGAGAAACTCAACCTACATCTTAATTAATTTATTTTCCTTTTAAATTACATATACAAAATAAAGTTATGGTTACAAATATTAGAATTAATAATCCAAAAATACTCAAATTTACAATAATCAAAGACCGATGAAGCATTGACAGATCATTCTATTATCCAAAACAAGGTAAAATTGATCTCGTCATGAAGAGTTTCCTTTTTGGATTTTACTCGCTGTAAAATTATGATTATGTATTAAAAGGATAGTAAGGAAACAAAAGATGGTAAAACTAATATTCTAACACTTAACTTCCCCTTTCGGAGCAAAACAAATAATAAACATAAAAGGGGCATAATAAACTTTCGAAGTGTTGAAGCACATAAAACCTATAGCTTGCTAATCTAAGCTATTCCCCCCTCCCAACCACCAACAAATCCTCAAGTTGTGATACAAAAATGATCTCAAAATCCATTACATCCATTGATCGATCGCTCTCACCCTGCTCAAGTTCTTACAGCTTTGTTTGGTGAATGATTTTCTCTTCCCCGACCTCGTTTTCCGCCTCTGTAGTGCTTTCCTCCTCCCCTAATACAAGGAAAAATCATTTAAGAGGTGAATCTACATAGAAGGAATAACATTGGAGGGGAATTTTCATAGGGGATTGCTTATTCAAAAAAATAATAATAAAGCTGTAGAAAATATTTGTCAGCACTGACCTTCCTTGAAAGCGCTTGTTTCCACAAAACTTTTCTTGGCTACAACGGCGGAATAGACCCCAATATTCTTTCTCAGCATTACCTAAGAACATTCCCCAGCTTTTTATCAGTTCCTCATCTAATACATCACGGTTATTTATCTAGGCATACAATAATCAGTACATGTTATATTGATGTATGCAAGATAAAGTCAATAGTGAGATCAGCATGCAACAAAAATGAGAAATAATGTTTAAATTAAATCAAACGGAAGTTGTTTCTTTCCTTACCAGTCACAGGTTCTAAAGTGGCAATGACATTTTTGACAACCAGACCACCTTCTTTAGCCAGGACAGCAGCAGCCCGAGCTTTCTGGGCTGCTTCTGGTGTATCAAACCGAATGTAACCCTTATCCTCACCCATTTTAAAGTCGACATACTTCACATGTAAAACAATTCATGGTGAGAAATACTTGATAAGAAATCTTGAAATAATTAAAACAACGTTAGAGAACAACTGTCTAAGTCTGTTACTCTTTTAAAGTAAAATAGTATAATTAAATGAACAAACAAGAAAAGAGAAACCAATTTCAATAATACCTTCACAGTGCCAAATCTTTTCAAGGCTTCCTTCAAATCTTCGCGTGTAACAACATTCTGATCATCTTTAAAAGCAGATGCAATGGATTTATGTTTTGTATCCTCATCCTTTGGAACGGGACTTTTGATGTCTGTTTCTTTACTAACATGTTTATCATCAATCTTTTCTTCATTATCTTTGACATTTGTTCTAGTCTTCTCTTCACTCTTTTCAGTCCCACCTTCCTTTGCAAGTTCATCAGAAGCATTTTGTTCTGCAGAGTCCCCAGATGAAATTTTCTTCAATGTAAATGCAACAACCAAACCTTTGGGGTAACTGTGACAAATCATTACATGAAGTTTAATTACAAACATGTGGCAACAGAAAAAACTAATGCCAGTTGAAGATTGTGATTAATTACTTGTCATCAGCATTCGGCTGGTTATCGCCATTTGAACCTGAGACTGGATGATTACCCTCAAACTGCTCTGCATCTTCTTCTCTTGTAGCATCAAAATCCTTCCTGCAAAGAAAATTGTAACAGAAAAGTCAGATAAACAGATTGTAACAGCAACTACAACCTTTGGTTTCACCATACAACACGATTAAGAAAACAAATTGCAGCAAAACAAATAGAAAAAAGAAAAGCTTACTTTGGTTTCAATTCCAATTCAGCTCCGGCAAAAACCAAGCTTTGCTTCAAAACCTTTTGTGCATCTTCCTCGTCCGAGAATTCAATCAAAGCAGTGCCACAAAAACACTTTTTGTTTGCTACATGACGAGGTAACCTCACACTATTAACCTAAGAAACAAGAGGACAATCAAACTTACATTGAACCAAGAACATGTTTAGAAGTTATAAACCTTAAACATATCACTAGTTATCCATTTGTAACTAAAATTAGCAACTAAAATATATAAGAGAACAATTATCGCTCTCATTGAGAAAATACCTTAGCATATTGGTCAAAAAAGGCTTGTACATCTTCCATCTTGACATTATATTCGAATGGTGATGCAGCAATTGTTCTACTGTCTAATTGCTCAATCAATTCTTCGGGCTCTAATAGAGCAGTGGCTCTGCCAACTTTCGTCCCTGTAAGATTGAAAGACGCATTTAAAATTCATTAATTATATATAACCCCCTTTTTGCCTTGGCTTATGAGAAAAAAAAAACAGGAAATTCTTATTTTGAGTTTGGAAAAGCTGACCATCTTCAGAAACCTTGAGGGAAGATGAAGTTCTGAGAGTTTCAGCAACTGCTTTTAAAGTAGCCTCTGGTACATCTTCCGCCTTCACATTCCTTAAACTCAAATGGCCTCTCATCTTTGAAAACGAACAAATCAATGCTAAACTAACCACTTTTTTTATTAGAAAAAACGAAGTCAAGAACAACAACAATAAAAATCACAGAATAAGTAAATAAAATATGACTCGAACAGCGGGAAAATCGTTTTTAGAAATAGAAGGATACTGCCATCATCATTTTCGCTGATTTTCTTCCTCAGAAAGTGATCTCTCGGAACATTGCTATCACTGAAGTAGAACTCTACCTGTAAAATTACAGAAAACAAAAATTAAAAATTGAGCGATTGAAAGGTAGAAGAGAAATTAAACTTTGAAAAATAAAAGATAGGTAGGGGGAGGGGGATATTGACTTGACGAAGAACGGCCTTGGCAGTATCTTCGCTTAAAGAAGGCGCCACCATTATTGTACGGCAAGTGTTTGCGCGAAAGAAATAAAAAAAAAGGTTTTCGACTTAAGAAACAAGAAGATTAGTGATGTGAGTTTAGGGTTGTCGAAGAGTAGTTTTTGCTCTTGGGTTAGAAATTGGGGGTTTATATGGGCTTTTACTCTAAAGGCCAGTTGTTCATGATTATTTGATTTTTAAAAATATTTTTCAAAGATGTATATATTACAAATATAGTTTTTTTTTCAATTAATTTATAGGGTAAATTACTTTATATTGTATGTAGTAATATTTTTTAATATTTATTTTTCTTCTTTAAATACAACATCTAAATCATTTAAATTCTAACTATACGTTTAGATAATACGTATTGTTTTTAAATATGATATTTAAAATTTTGGATATAACAATATTTTAGTTTTTATGTAAATATTAATTAAATGAAATTTCTATTATTTTTATTTTATTAATTTAGATACTTAATAAAATTTTATTCTTTTAATTTCAAACAATTTAATTTTTTTTTTGAGGAAATGATCTTTTTTTTTAAAAATCACTAGATTCTTGATTGGTGGTCATAGAAGTTGGATTTAACCAACCTATTTTCAAAATAGGAAGTGGATAAAAAAAAATTGAGATAGTCTTTCATTTGTCTATCACTATAGGCAATACTGTCCATATTATCTATGAAATTTGAACCCGAATTCTATTTACAATTCCTTATTTTTATCTCATTTTTTTATCTCATTTCTTTTTTTTAGCATATCGATTTTTTTACGTCAAACCTCTTCCCTTTTTCCATCTATATTTCTTTCTTTATGTCATAAACGAATTACGCTTATTTTCACATCTAGGATTTATATATACAACGTATATTAATGTCAAGTTGTCAATGGTGAATTTCTTATTTCTTATTTCTTATTAGTGAGTTTATATTATATATATAATTTATATTAGAGGTTGGAATATTAATTATATTATATATTCTAATATATCTTTTAATTTATATATATATTATTTAGAATAAATCCATCTGAAACTTGAGCATTTGCGTTGGAAGTAATCCACCCTAAAACTGGGAAAGCCTGTCCACAAAAGGCTTGTCAAATCATTATATGTTGAAAGTAATCCGTTTTTGTGAATTATCTACAATACAAAAAATGGCTTTTGTGTGTTTAAAGTGTATTAATAATTAGGATAAATTACGAATTTAGTCCTCTAATTATTTGTGCAATTTCATTTTGATCACTCAACTATTTTTTCTAAATTATACTTAACGTTACGTTTTAACACATCACCGATAATTTTTCAATGACGGGTGACTAGAAACCATAATGTTAGATGACCAAAAAAGAATCACGAGAATAATTGAGTAACTAAATACCCTTAATAATTATCTTTTCCGTGTCAAATCATTGGTGAGGATGATGGCGCCAAAATAAACATCCAAATAACAGAAAGCTACAATTCCAGTCATCAGTTTTCTTTCCTACACAGAATTTTAAATTCGATAGATTGTGTCTGATAAATATTGCATGCAAAACGTAACAAATGGAACAAACAGAAGGCAGTGTTTGTTGCCTTTGGACAACAGAATACTAGGCTAAATTTACAGGGGAATTAAAGGGTTCAATTGAGCATAAAGAAAACTTGATATATCAGCCCCCATACTTGCAGAGGTTTTCGAATCCCATGTACTCGTGCCGCTCAATCTTCCCGATCATGTTTGCTATGCCAACGCCACCTAGAGAAAGAAAACCGATAAATGTTTTTTTGAGAGGTTTGAAGCAAGAAAAGAGTGTTTGCGAAAACAATTTAGAGGAATATCAAAGCTCACCTAGTGATATTGCACTAACAAATATTGTGAAGGCTAGAATGAAGATGATCAAAGATGCCCTTCCAAATAAAATTATAAGCCTTCGGACAATGTGTTGTCCGACAAGGGCAGCAACGGTAGCCACCGCAGTGAAGTAAAGAGCTGCAAAACAAAGTACGAAATATGTAACTTCGGGAAAATGTGGAACAACAATACCCTCAAGTAGAGGCAAGATTAATGACAACACCATCCCCACCACATCCCATGCAGGTTTCAGTGTTCCATTTTATTCCAAAAGAATAAGAAACATCAACAAAATTATTGTGTTATTCAGTTACCAACTTACCATAAGGTACTGGAAAACGTTTCAAAAGGTAATATTCTACAACAGACATGGAAGAGGAGAACGTCATGGCAAAGGTAGCAGTAGCGCTTGATACCTGCATGGAAGTCACAAAAGATTAGAAATAACAAGCAATGGATAATCTTCGAAGTCATGATACAACAGGACCTGGTTCTCCTTTCATGTCACCATCATTCCAATTTATATATGAAGGATAAACTTCACACAAGTGAAGGAAACAAAGACTCACTTGAGGAGGGACACCCAGCTCCAAGAATAGCGGGCCCATAATAAATCCTCCACCTAGGCCGAGTAGACCGCCAACAACTCCAGCTAGTACTCCAAAAGCACAGTAGGTAACAAGCTGGAGCACCCGAAAATTTGAGCCTTGATCTCCCTTGGATGCAATTAATCTACGTCCTTTATAGAGACTAACTGCCTCATATAGAGATACCCCAACTGCAACCGGGATCTGGACAACAAAAGGACACATTAGACCATTATCAGCAATGGAAAGAAGCAATAGCCAATAGGGATCAAAGAAGATAAAAATTTACCTGTAGCAAATTCAACACCCAGTACAATGCCGAACAAGTGGCTGAAGTATTCTGTTGCCAAAAGTTGTGGTTTATCAGTTACGCTTCAACCATTCATACTCTGTAATATAAATAAGAAAAGAGAAGGCAGAGGAAACATAACCATGGTAATCTGCAGTACAAGGAATGCAACCCAAACAAAACAAAGGAGTCCAAGTTCTTTCCAACACACATTCTCCCATACAGAGACCTGCTATATTGCATTATTAGCTTTGAGAGAAATTGTAACTTATTAAAATAACATTAGATTACAGTTAACCTACTTCTTTATCTGTGTTGTCCGTAGGAGGATCATTGTTTGGGCCGCTAGGAAGAGGCTTGTATTCCACATCTACATTATCAGTATCTGATATCAAATGAGCAAGTCAGAAGGCAAAACATGAAGAAAGGATCACTGAATGATCTTAAGGATCAATTAAAGGAAAAAGTGAAGTGAGTAATTGACCATTTGATGCCAAACGCCTGGCAGCCTCCTAAAATCCATGACAAGCAAGGTTTCAGATGGTTAGCAACTAGTTTGAAATCAAACACACCACGTGATACTTTGAAATCAAACATCCTTGAAATCTTTAGATTACTCATCGATGAAATGGAAGGGGAAAAAATCAAAATTTTCTACGCATCAGAATGGGGCTGAGTTAATAAATTACTTTTTTTGATATGGTTTCTTTTTTCCATGTTTCAACACCCTTGAAGAATGTCTTTGTTGATGTCCCTGCAAACCAACCAATGAATTGAAATTTAGCAGATCGTTCGACAAGAATATAATGTGCAGCAAACGAAACAATAGATCAGAAAATCGTTACCTATAAAGAGAATAATAAGTAAAACAGTGACCATCCAATCTGCAAAGATCACATTAAAAGTGACTCCAATGCTAATTCCCATCATGAGCATTGGCTGAATAAGAAGAGCCAAATCATAATCAATGATAGGCATATCGAGTGTAGGATGCCTTAGCTTAAGGTTGTAATAAACAGTTGAAACTGCTGCACCCATGATCATGCCTAGGGAAAAAAACATAGAATGCATGAACTCGACAGAATCTCCAATGATAGTTTCTTAGTAGCATTTAAAATTCTCAACTTGACGCATTCAGAGCTTAAATAATTTTGGGAAGCGTCAAAATGCACCTATTTCTTCATGCAAGAGCACAGAATTAAAATAATAATAATAATAATAATAGGAACAACTTACATTTTGAAATAGCTGTGGCTGATTTGGGATCAAACCCAATAATAAGGCTAAGCATGGGAACATAAATGCCACCTCCACCGACTCCACCTACACTTCCAAACGCTGCTCCAAAGAATCCGATCACACTTCCCACCACAATTTGCCAATTAAATTCCATTTCCTATTCCCCAAAAAAGAAGAAATAGAAAGCTTCAAAATGAAGAGGTTAAAAAAAACAGTTCTGTGATACAAAGATAAAAGGAAATAGACTGAAATATCTATACTCACAGGCCAAACATGGTGATAACCTGACTCGTCAGATTTCCACAAGAAATTAACAGCTTTGAGAAAATAATTATCGTTTGTTTCAGATTCCTTGACGGGTTCTCCATGTTTCAAGCTTCTCTCAGCTGAAACAAGCATGAAAGCTATACCAAAATTGAGGAAATTCAACATTACCGATCTCAAAACACTCCGTTTTACCCCAAATTGCACCATCTTTTTTTTTCCCCCTCAGTGAAAACTGTTTCGTTCTTTAATTTCCCTTTTTTAACAAAAATAATACACTTTTTTTTGGAATCAAAATCTCTGCTGTTTCCACTTTAGCTTACAAAGAACAACGCCGAAAGCGTATGGTTTCCCAGAAAGGCAAACCGAAGAAAACAATAGTAGATATAAGGGGTTCAAAACAAAAAGATAAAAGGATTAAAAGAGAAATGAATTTTAATGAATTGTGGGATTCGAAAAAACAAACGTGAACGCAATACCAACACAAGGTTCAGGAATCTTTTGCACTACGTCTCTGTCAAAATGAGAAAAAGGAAAATGTCTTTTACTCGACTGCACACGCAGATTATACAATAAGAAAAAGTTAAACTGAGAGATACCGGGCTGAAGCAGGCGACGTTTATAATTTAATATTTTTTTCTTTCTTCGGACGCTTTTTTTGTTTATGGTTAGGTTGACTCTGTCTGCCGCCATTCGAGTGGACCTCCATATCCACCTCCTCTCATCGGGACTCGCCCACTTACCCGACGTTTTACTCTATGTATTATTACCCTGGGGAAATTACGTTTTTCATCACTAAATTTTGACCATATTTTTTGGTCATTCAACTATAAAACTTTTCAATTTTCAGTATATTTTCTAATTACTCTTGTTTTAGTCATGTGGGGGCCTTAAATAAAAATGATAGGATGATGTGAAGTAGTTTTTGTTGATATAAAAGCCACCTATTGTTCACTTAATTTATTTATTATTTATTATTATTATTATTATTTTTTCATCTTTTCAATAATAAATAATCTTTTATTTAAAGTGTCGTTCTTTGATCAGTTTAGGCAAATTCATCACATTGTTTCATATTATTTTATTAATTTAATTTTTTTTTTAAAAATAATTTCAATATACAATCTTTAATATCTAATGAATTCAGAATCAAGATACGTTATTTATTTATTCTTCTCCTACCTTCTCATGAGTATGATTTGAAAGAAAACATTTTACCGTAAAAAAACAAATTGAAACATTAAAATTAAATTTTTAGAGGTATTTTTATAAATAGAAAGAAAGTTTCGATTATTTTTCATAAAATACTTTTTGAAAAAAATATTTTATCATAATGTTGTTAAATAATTAATAGTAGAGTGATCAAAATAAAAGTAATATAAAATTTTAGTGATGAAAGTTTTAAAGATTATGAAATATTTAAATTAAATGAACATAGCTAAAATTTTAAAATAAATATTATGATAAAATAATTAATTCGTAAAAAAATCAAAATAAACACAATTTATTCAAGAAAGCGAACACATATCATAAATAAAAAGGAAACAAACTATTTAAGGGCAAACCCCATATATGCTTGATATGTAAGACCAATAAGATTATTTTTGAAACCCTTTGGTATTAATGAAGTGCCCCAATAAAATATAAGGTAAAGTAAACGTTTAGTATCTAGACTATCAGCTTTATTTTGGTTTAGTACTTAAATTTTCTTTTGTTTCAAAATCATACCCAACATTATTTTTTTACTTTTTGTTTCATTTTAGTACCCTATCGTTAAAAACTTAACATATGTTGCACGCATATCATTTATATTTTAGGGCAAACTATACGTTTAGTACCTAAATTATCAGTTTTATTTCGTTTAAGTACTTAAATTTTCATTTATTTCAAAATCATACTTAATGTTTATTTTTTGTTTCGTTTTGGTACCTCGTCGTTAAAAACTTAATGGAACTGTTACAACGTGACACATTTTTATGGATAAATTACATCATTCTTCACTTAACTATTTTCTCACTCCTATTTTGGTCACTAAAGTTAAAAAAAATCAAATTAACTACTCAACTTTCAAATTGCTCATGTTTTTTTAATCACTCTAATTTATTTTATTAATATTTTTTATGACATGATTTTTTATTAGTATATAATTACAATAAAAAATTAAATTTGAAAGTTAGAGTAATTAAACTAGGATTAATTTGAATGTTAAGTGATTAAATAAAAAATTAATTTTTAGCGAACAAAATATGAGTGAGAAGATAATTGAGTGATGAATGATGTAATTTACCCATAAAAATGTGTCACGTTATAACAGTTCCATTAAGTTTTTAACGACGAGGTACCAAAACGAAACAAAAAATAAACATTAAGTATGATTTTGAAATAAATGAAAATTTAAGTACTTAAACGAAATAAAACTTATAATTTAGGTACTAAACGTATAGTTTGCCCTAAAATATAAATGGATGTTGATTCGCAATCAAATATAAAACTATTTTATCCAAAAAATAAATTTTATTTTTAAAACTTTAAAATCTTGATAAAAATATAAATCCTCACAAAAAATGTCTCATATTAATGAATCAGTACGATAAATGTTAATCGAGTCTTAATCTGATTGACATTATTACTAGATATAGTATTAAAAAATATTTTTTATGTCTGACTAAATAGTCACTTTGATTTTTTTTTTCTTACAGTAATGTGACGTCCAAATTTTTTATTTTATGATAAAATAATCTCTAGTTGAATGAAAATCATTAATTGATTGACGATCAATATTCTTTACTTACATAATAAAATGTACATATCATAAATGATAATGTGATATGTTCTACAATATAAACACAATCCTTTAAAATAAATCTAAATTCAAAACAGTGTTTAGCATGATTTTTATAGTAATTATCTCGTAGATAGTAGTGGTTGAACAATTAATTAGCCTTTGAAAACAAGCAAAAAAGAATAGAAAAAATGCAGCAGCTAAACAGGAAGAAATGTCATTCAATGGTCCTTCACCAAACCGAATTAAAAATTCTATTATATTTGTCATCAAGTTCAGAATTTTGAAATCTCATATATTTTAAATCGGATTTAATATAAATTTAGACTCTGAATTTAATATTACAATTTTATAAATCCAACAAAAAGTCAAACCAAATCTACGACTTACGACAAAAGAAAGATGGTTAGGCGTGTTAATCTACCACTTTCTAGAAGCAACTATATTCAACATAGCATACGATCAATCGAACATACACTATTTAAAAAAGAGTTTGTTTGTGAATGTTTGGCCTTATTAGGGAGGGAGTTTGGGCTTTCTAGCTCCTGAGTTTCGTACTTTTAGATCTCATCTGTTTTAATAGGTATAAAACAGAAGTCAAAGTACTTTTATAGTACTTAGAGATGTTTCCGTATAGGTATTAGGTCTGAACAAGTAGGTTTACAGAATATGTATTTATTATTAAGGTTAAAAAAATTATAAACATATATTATCTTATAATCCTCTGAAATTATTTAAATATATATAATAATAAATTATTTTTTTAATTATAAAGATAACATTTAATTAAAAGATATCTTTAACATTTGACTAAATAATCACGTATACACTATTATTTTTTTAGAATATTTTGACTTCTAATTTTAATTTTAGAATAAGATAACGTTGATTAAATGAAAATTACTAATTAAGAGTCGACACTTTTCGTTGAAATGATAAGACTTATGAGTCCAAAGTGGCGATGTTATGTTGTTATATATATACAAGTGATAATATGACACATGTCACGTGTTTAAAGTGATAATATGATATACACTATGCATACATACATGACAACATGACATAAACACATATCACGAGTCCAAAATAATAATGTAACACAAATCATGTGTCCAAAGCAATTCGATATTGCTACGCCGATAAACTTTTTTATTAAATTAATATACTATAATATTAAATTAATTTTATTCAATAAAATGATGATACATATTTTTATCTCATAAAAATGAGAAATTAAAATATAGAAATGATAAAACTTGAACCTTTAAAATGAAAAACTCAATATTTAACTACCATGCTATGTTAGTAACATGTAATATATTTTATAAATGAAAAACTTGACCCCTTTCGCTTGTGGATGTCCCGGGAGTGGAGGAAAATACTTCAAGGGCTTATATTGGGCCAATTTGTTCTTGGGAAGCCTTGAAGATTAAACAACAAAGTTTCGACGATCCTGGAAGATTGTATTGAATAAACATTCTTCTAATAATTTTACAGTTGTTGGCTTCAGCAGGTGATGGAAGCAGCCCAAGCTTCATATGCCCTGCCTAGATCTTCCTATGCATGGCAAAGCGTCAATCACATTGCACATCCTGTTGTTGGAACTCTTCTAGCATGGATTCCGAGCAAAATTTCTTCTCTGACTCCTAAACTAAAGTACTCGTAGAAAGAGGTCGATGTTCTTAATTTCTATGATCATACATCAAGTTCGAGTGCATTAAATCATGACCGTATAGTGTGATTGAATCTCAGGAGGTATTTAAAATGTGGGGCAATTTGCTACTGAATGCTACCACAATGTTGAGTAATGAAAGATCATCTATTGGTCCGCATATAACACAGAGATGGAGCAGGTAAAATTGTTATGAACAATGAAGACTCATAATAAAACAAAACATCCTGTTTGTAGACATTGTTTGGAAAATAAAAGTACCACATAGTCGAGAGAAACCCCAAAGCTATAGTTTGTAAAATTCAGGGTTCTCTAGCACCAAAACAAAACACCACAATCAACTTATGAAGCAGCAGCTGCTGCCTTCTTCCTTGGAGTTGCTTCAGTACCTGACAGACAACAATTCAAGAATATCCCATCACTATATACTATCGATCAAACATGCTTTCATTTAAACCAACAAAGATTGAATACGAAAAAGAGAGAGATACCTTCTCTAAAGCCGGTTTTGAACCTTCGAGGAACATGTCGGAGGTACCTCATTCGACCAGTCCCGGTAGTCTTTCTTCTAATAGCTTTCACACTCCAGTTATCTAAAGCCAATCCAACAAACTAATCAAACAAGCATGTATTGCCAATAGAAAGCCATTGTTCAGTAGACAGAATGATTTAGAAAAACATAGACAATAAATCCAGGATTCAATCTTTGAATCAAGCAGTGATTACTTAATCGTTGCTTCATATACAGATTCTTACTAAAAAATTACACCTTAATCTTGGAATCAAGGGAATCAAAGATAATAAAAAAATGGATTACGATATCTTAAATCTAAATCAGGTAAGCATCTAACTGTTTTCATGGGATGTCGTCACTTATCATGAAAATTTTCATTTGCTAAACCTCATCTAAGTTCGGCTAAGTAAACTACAAACAGAGCTAAAATGCCAAAAATACATAGATTTGGAAAATCAAAAGCAAAAAAGTAAAAAGAAAGATCTTACATTTTCGGATGCGACTGGCAGGGTAGGCGCAAGCACCGCAACGGCTCTTCTGGAGATGGAAGCTTCGTCGTCCACATCGAACGCATAGCGTGTGAGTCTTGTTCCTTCTCTTTCCAAAGCTTCCGGTTCCTTTTCCCTATCAAAAAAAAGAGGAACAAAGCTTTACAGTCAATTTAAAATTCCCAGTTAATGGCACTGACATGGAGAATGAATCCAAATGATAGCAATGACAAATACCATCTTCTTTGGTTCTTCGTGCTGCAAAAACACAAGAAAAGTTCTGAATGGAATACAGTTAAGGTATTTATATAGTGATGAAGTAGATTAGGGTTTTGCTCGTCTTTGCCAACCGAGGACGCCAGTGAGAGAGACCAAGACAATTCTAAAGGCGTTTTCTCTGGCCCGTTGGCATAGGAAAGTCCACTAATAATACTAAAGGCCTCTGGTTTTGCTTTAATGGGCTTATAATCAATTTGTCCATATTTTCTCCAGTACTGAATTCTTCTGGTAAAAGAGGTAAACTATACTTTTCATCACTCAACTTCGATAGTGTTCTTGTTTCGATAATTTCATTTCATTTTTTTCATTTAATCACTAGATTTATGAGTTATTGTTATTTTATTCACTCAGCGTCAAATCAAAAACATCGAGATGGAGTTAGACACCGACGAACTGAAGCACGTGTGATATTGATACATGCTTTTGTCCTGCAATCTATACAAAAGAAGAAAAATATGGTGAGTCGTTATCCAACTACAAATACAAATGGACTAGCCTTGGTGTACCCATATGGCTTTGAACTGAACATAAAACTCAAAACTGAAAAGCCTATCACAAAGAAAGTCAGAGAAGAAGAAGCTATATATGTATTGCTCCAAAATAATCAAATTTAGTCCAACAAAAAACCCAGTTGGTCCATTCAATCATTTCTAGGCTGAGATCTTTCTGGGATAAATAATGCGCATGCTTGAACAATGAGAAAGTAACAAGTAACATGGCAGCAAATGGAGCAGTATTTGAGTGGGAAAAGGAAAGATAGTTTGAATGAGTTGCACACATGTTTGAAGAAGATTATAAGTAGAGCAATACCTGGAGAAGAATCCTAGTTATACACCCCATGCTCTCATCCTAAGAGAAAGTGCATACCAGAAGGTGGACAAGTGGGTTTTTGATGCTTTGCTTTCACCAAGCACATATGGAAAGAAACCTTTGGAATTTCCACTGACATGGAGAAAGATACCTTGGAGACTGACATAAAGAAGAACACTGCAAAAATCTGTACCGATGGATTAGAATGAGAGAGAGAGTGGTGGGAAAAGAAAAAGGAAAAAAAAACATTTTTTTCCTTTCCTTTTTCCCTGCTGGCTGGGTTTGGAATCATCAAAAAATAAAAAGTGCATCATCTTGGACCCTGTAAACCCCCTTTGGGTGTGGTCTTAGTTTGAGAGTGGCGGTCCCAAAGGGTAGCACAGTTCTACATGAAGTGGGATCTCTCCCTCAGTGCGACATTATCTTTCTTCATACCATTCATCAGATTCAAAGTCTTTCCATTACATCTCTTTGCATGCGCTTTGCTCGTCTTGCCCTTGTCACCCACTCCACCACCTTCTGCGCAAAAATCCAAGTTATCCACAACTTAATCTGTGTATTAAGTAACAACGTAAAGATTTATGAGGATCGTAAATTAATTAATATCGTCCCATCACAATTGTGAACCAATGTAGTTGACATGCTGATGATTGACTCGTTACATCTTCTGGGAATTACCTGTTTAATCAACCCACCTCAGCACTGCAATGCTGAAACATCAATTTTAGCTTAGCTTTATTAATGGCAACTGTTCAAAGTTCCAGCCAGTTGGATAATACTATATACATACATATAATCAAATCTTTATAGATTTTTTTAACTTCGAATTTATGAAATATCAATAAGTAATTAAATAAATAAAAATGCAAAGGTAACTAAAACTTATTGTTTAATCTAATGACAAATAAGAAATCCTTTTTAATGTTTTAATTGTATCATAATCTTCAAATTATGACTCTCATTTTAAATTAGTACTTAAATTTTTTAAATATTTCAATTTCATCCCCAAACTACGACTTTCATTCTAATTTAGTTATTAAACTTTTGAATATTTCAATTTTATATCAAATTATGACCGTCATTCTAAATTAGTCTCTAAACTTTTACACATTCTAATTTTATTCCTAAACTATACATAATACACATTAGCGTTTACATGGCAGTTGTCTATTTCTATAACATTTTTAACAATAGATAAGTAATTAGCTTATATTGATAGTTTGAGATGAAATTAAAATGTTCAAAAGTTTGTGGATTAATTTAAAAATAGGTTGATAGTTTAGGGACAAATTTAAAATTTTCAAAATTTTGATGATGCATTTAAGTGGAAGTCATGATTTAAAAATGAAATTAAAACATTCAAAATATGATAATCAACTTAAAATGTGTGTCATAACTTTAAGAATATGATGCAATTAACCCTTTTAATTTATATAAAAGGTTCCAGCCACAAGGCTGTATACAATGTCAAGCTGAACAATCATGGGTATAGAGTATATGAGTTATTCAAATTATATGAATTATTCTAATTAAATTTAAATAATATTTTCGGTCATTGAAAATGTCAAGCTCGTCAGTCATGAATAGATAGTATATGAGCATATACTTCAGATATACGTATACATGCATGCATAACATGGAAACATTTCTACATTTGGCGTACACTGTTTGTAGGAGTAAAGTGGTCCACGTCAGATTCGATTGTGAGATAAAAAACCATTTGCAAAATTATTTGGTTCTAAGTTCTAAAATACCCTAATTTGTTACTAACATGGATCTTGATTAATCAATAATCAATTAAATAATCGTCGATAATTTATAAAATAAGTTATTAGAAGCTCTTAGTTGACTTTCTTAAGTTGTGGTTGAATACTATTAGAAGTAGGGATGGGCATGGGTCGTGTTTTTTGTCCACCCGACCCGTCTCGAGAACAAGGAATCCTTCATTCGAACTCGATCCGACTCGACCAAAACAAGATTCCACCCGAACCCGACCCGATATTTAACTTTAAAACCCGACCGACCCGAAATAATAAAATTATTATTTTTATTCAATAAAAACAATTACTTAATTGAAAAAAAATAATATAAAGAGTTGTATTATTGTAATTATTCCTAAATATGTAAGTTAAAATTAAATATTTTCGGGTAGGGTATTTTTCACCCTAAACCCGAATCCGAACCCGACTCGAACATGACCAAAAAAAACTGACCAGAACCCGAAATTAAAAAAAACCGACCCGATCTGGTCGGAACCCGTCGGGTTCAGGTCCCATGCCCATCCCTAATTAGAAACAAAATTTCTCTTCTCCAATCTTCTAGGTAGATATTTTTCAAAAAAAATTATATAATCGAATGAGATATTAAATTTTTAAGTGAATTCAAGGGTTTAAATATCAATATTACGAATGAACAAAAATAATTTAGGACAAGAGCGGATGTACTAAGCCCCTTTGGGAGCCAAGTGCGTACTCATTTGGTTGAAAATATGAGTATTAAAAGTTTTAGACTCTATTTTTAAATTTTTATATCCACAATTAATTTAGGTTGATCTGTCTCATAAATAAACTTATATAATATCCGATTTGAATTAATTAACTAATAAATAATAATTTAATTATTATCATCGTAAAGTTATATTAAAATAATATTACTTTGATTCGCAATTTTAACTTGAATAGATAGCAAAGGCAAGGGAGGTAGTTGGAAATGAATAGTAGTATTAGGAGAAATGGTCCAGCAAAGCTATATCTTACCGACATGTATACATCTACGAAGATGGATTTTGGGCAACACATGTTAATTAGGCTCCCAATCATGAACCTGATTGAGAAGCACCAATTATAACCACAAGCTGCTCCTTCTTTCACCTAATTCCTTTGTACGTTTAGAAATTTCTTGCATCTATAATTGAGGGAATGATTTGTTTCTAGGCTCTAGTTATTAAAATATAGGTGAATTGAACTTGTTTTCTTTATAGGCTTTTATTATTTAATTTAATGAACTCTATGACAGACCATCTATCAAATCCAACTGATTTATCAAAAACAGCTTTTGCAGATGACAGATAATGGCTACAAACAGATCATTCTTCACCTTTTCCCTTTTCACGGTGAGGATTGAGGAAGCTTTACATACCACTATTTTTGACACATAATGAATTAACAAAAAATGTAAAATGTTAGTTTATAAAAAATTATTTAATAATCATTTGATTTGGTATCCATATCTTATCGATCAAGAATATTATTTTTATCGATATATATTTAAAGGTTAAAAGTTTTTATACGTTAATCATTTTTAATATATAAAAGACTTGACATACGTTATTTAAATAATAAAACTTAAAATGATGATTGAATTTCCAGATTTATCACTCTTGGGATGTAAAATTTAATTATTTTTCAAATTTCAGTCTCTTTTTTTAAACGAAACCTATTTTATACATAGAACAGTCCAATTCTCACCTAGCTCTCCGCCTCTCCCCCTACAAACGAAAAAGTATCATGCTTAATTAGGGAAAATTGGTAATGTACAAGATGTACGGATAATTTAAGGTCCCCACAATCCAAAAAAAAAAAAAACAGCCCTTGAACACTTTCTTTCATCACTCTTTCCAAGTCCTGCCATTGGAAATGGCTCTGGTGCCATCTTGACATAAGAAACAATGGTTTCACGTAGACAACTCTTTCCCTTAACACTTAGCCCTGCCTCTGCCCATGGCAATAAATCAATCAAAATGCACTGCAATGTTCATATGTAGTGTATTATATAGTATCTTCGATCTTCAGCCAAAAATTTGTCCATCTTAATTCAAAAAACCCAAGAAAAATTGCAGCCAAATGGGGAAAAAAAAGAATCAATCATGGACATGAACATGATGAACGGGTGAAGGCCATGACTCATGGCGATGATTGCTGCAAAAGTGCTGAACGAGTGAAGGCCGTACGATGTTTCGCTTCACATTTCCAATACCGTTCGATGTCTTCTGCAATCCTCTTAGCATCCATTGATGTACCTAGCAATCCACGTTTAGTGAACCCCACGGCGTATATCCCATTTTCACCTTTCCACCCATTAGGGAATGGCCTTCGAGGGTACCCATCTTTCTCTGAGAACATCTCTCTTTCCTGACAATATTTTCAACCCTTTTATCCATCAAGTTGCAACTATTTTAAAGAAAAGGAAATAAAGATAAAAGGAGCAGGTATACCTTTAGCCAAGAGGGTACGTTGCTTTTATAACCTGTTGCTAGAATGA